TCAATTATATGAAGACAAAAAAAGACTTTGAAATTGCACAAAAACGACAGAAGAAAAGGACGAGTTTGACAATTGAAGCATAAAACTATAAAAGAGAGGCAGAATCTTTTCCATGTATAATTGTAATTCATTGTATTGATGTCTCAAAGTCAAATCATATCATGATATTGTCATTAGAATTCTAATTAAGTAGGCGCAAAACTAAAAAGGGGTTCGTTCTTAACTTTTAGTAATCCCAATTTAATCTTTAATACTATGTAGAGGTGAAAAGTGAAAGAAAGGAAAAGAAAGGAAGGATTTTTCAGTGGAAAATAGGTGGAAAAACTAAGGAGTGGGTCCCATTATATTTCTTCTTTCTACAAGTGGACAGAAAATGAAATGAAAAATAAGGACAACTAATTAAAATGAGTAAAGTTACTAAACTACTATTTTCTCTATCAACATCTAAACAAAAAATTTAAGTGGCAATTTTGAAAAATTAAGCAAGCGGGTGGTTTGTATTTGCTAATGTATAACAGTTGTATGAAAGCCCTATCTCGTTGTATTTGAAACTTTATATTTAATGCATGATAGGTTGAATGTTAATGACAAATGGTGATGCTAAATTATTTTTATTGCTTTTACGGGAACTAAAAAAGATATGGTTAATACTACTTGGATAAAATGGTAACTGTTCATGTTATTTTATCATGAAGTATAATTTTACCCCTTGACATTGTTTTCACAAATATTATTCATGGGTATAAAAGTAATTTACGAGTAAGATTTTCTTTTTCTTCTCAATTTAATTTTTAATACCAAACAAGTGAAGGTAAGCTCATTTTTTTTCTATCTTTTCGTACCAAACAACATAAAAGAAAATTAATTTTCTTTCCATCATTACTATTTTCTATCACTTTCATATCTAGTTATCTCCTAGATGTACAAAATGTAAGTTAGTCTTCTCAAGAAGATGAGCATGACTATGATAAGGAGAGGAGAATTAGCTTCTCAAGCTCTGAACAAATGAGATCTTCACAACATCTGTATTTCTTTATGATAATTTTGTAAGGAAATATATAATTTTGTTGCCATTTTTCTTTACATTTCTTTATTTGCTTTGCTTTGTGGACTTTCTATTGTTGTATTATGCTTAACATTTTTGCGTATCAGAACACTGTTCTGTTCTTATGGTTTTATTTCTTTTTTTTGTTTTTTTGTTTTTCTTGTGTATCTGTGTTTGTTGGTTTCTCAAACCGGATTTTCAAAAAAAATTGTGCGAAAATGTGGAATCAATCGAATCACATAAATCAAAATTTAATGTGATCATTATTTCATGTTAATTTAACTACAAAGATATTAAAGAAAAGAATGAGGATTTGACTGTCGTTCGATTAGGACGAAAATCTTGAACTCCTCCAATACCGTCTTGAGCTCTTAAATTCCAAGAATACCATGGTTCTTTCTCAATGTATCTCCGGATTAACGTGAACTCGAATGTGTGAGCGTTCTAATGGGTTTCTCAACACATGAGATGAATAAATAGGGAAGCCACCTATAGTTATTACTTACTTTTCTCAAAAATATATGATGATACTCAAAATTTTTTTTTTAGTTTTCTTTTGTTATCTCGTTCTTTCCTTTTTCTTTCTTTCTATTCTCTGGGAAAAAAAAAAAAAAAACTTTTTCGTTCCTGTACTTAAAAAACAGAACTCATTCCGTTTTTGAGTAAATGTGCAATCACACATTTACTCCATTTCCTTGCGGTGAGGAAACGTGCAACAGCACGTTTCCTCCCACTCCCCTTCTTTTTTTTTTTTTTTTTTTTTTTTTTTTATATATATATATATATTAACGATAAGAGGGAGAAGGAAACGTGGAGAAAAGAATTCTCTCTAAATTCATTTATATTAATTTAAAATAATTTTAAAATAATTTTAATATTAATTAATCAAATTAATTAATATATGTGTATTTAGAATTCTTAATTCTAAATTAATAATCATAACCCACTATGACATATTCAGTTCACATTAATCTTATAGAGCCATTGAGAGGAACTATGGACATTATAATTTTAAGCTCCAATAATTTTGACAATTAATTAACACCTTAATTAATATGTCAAAATTATTAATTCCAAATTACTCCACTATAAATTTGAAATTGCACTCTCAAAATAATAAAACAATTAGTTCACAAAATTTGTGTTGTCCATTGATATAGTCACTACATACGAATTAATCCTCCATAAACGGTTCATAATTAAAGCTAAGTATTTTTCGTTAACCTCTTTAATTATATATTTCTCTATAAGTACCATTGATCCTCTAATGAATAATATATTTTATGATCCAATTATAAAATTGAGCGCTCTTATTATTCAAGTCCCAAATCAACACTTATGGGAACCGTCCATCTACTTCATTATGAAGGAATGGATTTCATCTTGTAAATTAATATTCCCGGCTATTTATTTTACTATGCTCCCAATATACCAAGACTTTGACACTATTCACATGTGTCATTACTCAATATGTCAAAGAATATAATATCATAAATAGGAGTTTATTAATTACTCATAATTAAAATTAATACATATATGACCATCATTGATTAACACTGAATACTCTATTTAATAACAGAATTTATTAGAGATTCATAATTAATCGCGTTCCGGTTCTATGTAATCATATTACATAAAATGCTTTCATTCCAATAATCTCATTATTAACAATCTAGGATAAGATTATTTCATTCAGAATGTAATGAACCGCATTAGTAATTTCAAATTAAAGATCCCAACTTTAATTTATAATTACGGACAAGTTTAGATTATTTTATTTCAAACATTATCCTTTGCATATAACAATTATAGACAATGTTTAAAGTTACATCAAAAAATAATATAGGGATTTTGATATTTATAAAATATCACATGTATGCAAAATAATATTGAAAAAATTCTTCATTTCATTGATAATCAGCAAAATATTTACATCTTATTTAATTTATGGGCATATATCCCAACAGTGTTTGCATTGCTTTTTACCTCCTTAACAAGCATGTTGACTGGATTTTCATTTGTATTTTGTCATAAAATTTTTTTTCTTAAAAAATTACTGGTCTCAACATTTAAATCATACGGTCCTGCATGTCATTGGAGCTCTGTATTAATTTTTAGGGGTAGGACATATTTGCGGAGAAAAAAAACAAGAAGAAAAATTTGTTATAGCTCTTAATTCTTATCTGGTGTTAGACTTTACCATAGATTAGTATTGGTCAACTTTTTGAGACAAGTGAAATTTTAGAATTTATTTTATTTTATTTTTTACTCTGAGTGCTATCTCACTACTCATCAATCACGGTGTTCAGTTGACTTGCACTGATAAACCCCTATTATATTGGAATTAGGCTCCCATCCTTTTACTTTGTCAACTAATCTCTTCAATGTTTGATTCTACTCTATGTTAAAACATTTTTGTGCATGTTATTCTGATCTAAGTGGTTAATGTTATTCTGATCTAAGTAGTTAATGTTATTCTGATCTAAGTGGTCTTATTTTGTGTCCCGTGCTAGCCTCTCTTATTCCCCCTGTTCTTCGGATACAATTCGATGCTTCTACGGCCAAATCTCAATTTGTGAAAAGTCCTCGATGGCTTCCTTATGAAAACATCCATTTTTTTTTTTCTTTAAGAACTTTTCGTGCGTGAATTACTCTAAGAGTTCACATAATAATATGATGTTGAAATAACGTTTTGTTTTTATACATCTTTTCAACTGTTAGCAAGCAGAAAGTCTTTGTTTCTCGACGGCAGATTTCGGTTTTAACCTCAAATATTGCAGAGCTATGACAGAAAATTGGTCCGAAAATTTTATTGCAAAAGAAAAGGACTTCAAAAAATAATCTCTTCTATGTGATTAATCAATGGAAGGAAACGACACGTTAAATCCATATGTGGGCAGATCTAGAAGACCTTGAGAATGGGATTCTTTTACTAAAATCAAAACTAAAAAAAAAAAGAAAAAAAGCATAAGGTGTCACACACGGAGCTGGCTAGCAAATGTTGTGACAGCTAATTGATTAGGACTAGAGCTGTAAGTTTACGTCGGGTCAAACGAACTGGACCAAGATCTACTACTATTGGCCTAGAATAAGGTTTCAAGTTCCAAAGTTTATTCGGACAGGGCAAACTCCCTCTTTTTAAAGAATTTATTTTATAAAATTGTTAGGCGTGTCGGGCTAAGCATTCCTCTCCCATTTAAGGCCGGACCAGCCAAGCTCTAAATTTTTATTCGGGCAGCCGGACTAAGCTGCACGGGCCCAAACTCTCACCTCTAACTGGGATGCAGATTATTTTGATCTTATATCAATTGAGTATTAAGAAATCTAATGTATAGGGTACATAATTTCCTTTGCTTTGGATAAGCTTTTATTTTGAAATCTGAATTGCTCAGCATTAGATATATCTCTCAAGAGGCTACTTTTTTTCATTTATTTATTTAGTGGGAAAATTATCATGGGGGAGAAAAGAAGCCAAGCCATTTAAGCCTTGTCACAATAGAATGTAAAGCTGTATGAGGAATAATGAAAACGAGGTGATATGAAATTATAACGAGATAGCATAATATTGCTCTCAACATTGGTTCCTTATAAAAGGGTGATAGCTATATTTAATAAAGCCATACTAGCAAAAACAATATATGAAACTGATGAACACAAGGTGCTAATAGAAACAAATAAAAAAAAAAAATGATAAACTCATTAGGACTTTAGTGATGGCTTAGTAATTATAGCAGCGGAGAAAGAAAATATACAAATGCATTTTGAGGTTATCTTCTTCATCTTGTTGACAAAAGATGAGAAAATCCGACGTTTGATTTCTCCTTTCCTAGGAGGAGGGAAGTATGATCCTCTATTGATGCGTTTCTTCATCGACACTTTCCGCCGATTTGCTTGCAAATTGATGCTTGTTAAGGTTGCCTTCTTGTTCATCTTCACCACAAATGTGTGTCTGAGAGAGGGAGATAGAGAGAGAGGGAGAGAATTGATAAATAAAGCGCATGGATTCACCAGTATAAATAGCTAGGCAAAGCGGGAAAAGTGTGAGAAACTTCCCCGACTTGACATGAATTATAGTTATATGCACTCATATAGATTTTTTTTGTTTTTGTTTTTTTGTTTTTGCTAGTAGATATATGTTGAAATTATGGGTTGACATCTATTAAATGTCAAAGAAAGTGTATTCCCTTTCCTCCCAATTTCTTCGTAGCTCTCCTTGTGGGGTATGAGAACATAAATATAAGATTACCCGTTGACAATTTTGCTCCTTTATTGAGTTCTTGAAAGGAAAAAAGCGAGTGAAGTTATATCATCAATTTATATTAACAAAATTTGACATCATTACATCAAGGGTATAACTTTTTCCACACGAGGAGGCTACAGTTTGAAGGTGCACGGAAAGTGGTTTGACAATTTCTTTTAGAAGGTTCAACTTGTAAGTATGAAATTTGGCCGGTGTCTTCCATTGCGCTTCATTTAGACAAAACATGAAGCAAAAAGTCAAAAACTAAAATCAATTACTATATTTTTTTTTTTCGTTTTCGTCCCCACGTGATTTCTCAGTGTCGTGGTAACATATTTGGATTTCAAATTTTTCAATCACCTTCCTTTGCAAAACAATGACAAACATCTAGAACAAAGCCAAAAGCAAAAATAATTATACTGTACTGACTAACCGGACGAGCGACCATAGATAGTGATGGTACTCTTGGCACAGCAACAAGGGATGATCACTCCACGACTCTCTTCCGTCCGAGGTTCAATTCTTTGCATCCGCACTTATTCCTACAAAATAGTGAGGTTTGTTTGATAAGCGTGGATTCCCCTTGCAGTTCCATTGATTTTTTCATAGCAAAAGACCGAGCGACCGGTGCACTTATTCTTACATCATAGGCAGACTTGGCATCAAATGGTCTCAATTTAGGAATCGAGCTACATGTCCAAAAAAAAAATGGTCTCAATGAAATGTCAAATTTTGGAAGATAAGAATCGAGCTACATCCATTAATACCATATGAAAAGGACAAGTTTGACAATATAACTATACATATCTACAACTCTCTTCCATGTAGTACTGTAACCCAATGTATCGACGTCTCTAGTAAATCATCATATCATGATCCACTATTTGTAATGAGGACTCTAATCAAGCAGGTGTAAACCTAAAAGGGGTCTTTCCTATATTCCCTATTTACTCGTAGGGGCTAAAATGTTGTACCAAATATATAACGTATCAAGTAATATGAGAACTTATGAATCACATATTTTATAAGTTAGTTACGACATTCTTTTAAGTATAGTTATTTATGTGCTTAAAAATTCTCATGTCAATCTATTCACAATACTCTGCAGAAGTATTGATATTTTTAGTGCTACTTATGCAATAAATTACTATCTGTGGGTGCGTTTGGTGCAACAGATTAAAGAATGAGAACTAAGATTATCCTAAATTTATATTTGGTGTCCTGCTTGTTTTATCTCACAGACACATACACGAGACCTGCAGCACTTTAACAAAACTACATTGCTCACCATCATCCTAAACAAGAGCAAGATAGCAGAGATTTTATTTCATTTTATTTTATTTTACTTTTTTGAGAACAAAAAATAAATAAAAAATAAAAAAAAGACACTTAATCCATAAAGAAGACTTATGCCAGAAGACTAGAAACAAAACTAGAAAACAGATCATTTACAAATTTGGAGGCATTAAAAACGTTATTTAAATGACAAAAAGATAAGAAAGGACGACCAGGGAAGAATTGAACCAAATTATGTTACTTAGCCAAGAAAAAATCGTACAAATAATTATACAAACACATTTTATACAAATTGGTATATTATGGATTTAACTGAGACAGCACATCATAGAATCTATGCAGTTCAAAGCCACAACAATAGTGCTTACCTTACATGGAATGTAATCGCCAAGGAAGTATGGTACTCACTGAAAGCAAAGAATGAAGAAGCACACTGCAATTGATCGCCATTCTTAGTTAATGACAGCTTCATTTCTTGTAGTTTTAGCAGAATTTGCTTAGAACACTTGCATCAGAAGTCTGATGAAGGGCTTTTCATCTAGATATTATGAATTCCCATGAAACTTTCTTTGTGAAACTGCAAGCAACAATCAAACTTAACAGATATTTATATTTTACCATGTATGACAGGAAAGTCTGAATCAAAGTTTGAAAGATCATACCAGCTTCGTGAGCATTAGCTCAGTTGTACCCAACACCAGTCCTTTTTGACAAGAATGGTTTCCAAAATGCCTTGTGTTACATGATCGAAGACCAACCCATTACAGACCATGTCCTTGAGAACTTGGAGAGCAACATCTCTTCTATTAACCCTCATGTAACCATTGGCCAAGGTGTTGTACGTAATATTATTAGGCAGAACACCCTTTGATGCCATTTGTTCAAATAGTTCTTTTGCCTTGTGCATTTCACCTTTCAAACAATATCCCTTGATCATTGTATTGTAAGTTATTGAATCAGGCTCGTCACCTTGATGAACCATTTCATCAAACAAACTTTGGGCCTTGTCCATCATGCCTTCTTCAGAAAGAACATTCAAAAGATGATTTAGAGATATAGTATCATGAGAAATCTCTGAACTTACCATCTTATCCAATAACCAAAATGCTTCTTTGAGCTGTCTCGAATTGCACAATCCTCTAAGTAATATGTTATGAGTAAGAGCACTTGGTCTTAAACCTTCTAGAATCATTTCATCAATTAATAAAAAGGCTTCCTTCATCCTTTTCTCATTGCAAAGAGTGTGCACCAAAATGTTGAACGTTACAACATCCGGTGGGACATTTCGATCTTTCATTTTGTGTAACAAATGGTAGGCTTTCATCCATTGGCCTAAACGGCAAAGGCCATGAATTAAAGACGTATAGGATACAATATTAGGCTTTAGACCTCTATTAGTCATTGTCTTCATGAGATCAAGTGCCTTTGAAATCCTCCCTTCCTTGCACAATGCATCCAACATAGAAGTGTACGTAACAACACAAGGAGATATTCCAGAACTGATCATGATTTCTAGGAATTTTCTAGCTTTCTGCCATTGCCCAGTCTTGCACAAAGCAGAAATCAAACATGTGAATGTGACTTTATCAGGCTTTATGCCTTTGCTATTCATCCATCCAAATAGCGAAATCGCCTGTTCAATTTTCTTTTCCTTGGAAAGAAAACCAATTAGAGCATTGTACGTACGAACATTCGGTGAAATTCCACCCTGAACCATATCACGCATGAGCTTTTTGACTTCCTCACATCGGTCACTCTTGCATAATCCGTGAATCAAAGAAGTATAAACAACAACATCCGGTACAACATCTCCACTCATCATATCTTCAAACAAGCTCAGCGCCTCATCCACTCGTCTTTCTTTACAATGAGCATCAATGATGGGACTATAGCATCCTACATTTGGTTTAATCCTCCCATAGTCCTTCATATGCTTAAGCAACTCAAGCGCCTTCCAAGTTTCCCCGCCCTTACAAAACCCGTTAATCATAGTCGCGTAAGTAATCTCATCACACGGGTATTCCTTCTCTACTGTTCCATCAAACAACTCCATTGCCGCACCCATCCATCCTTCCGAGCAAAGCCCGTGAAGCAGAGTGTTCAAAACCCGAGAATCGGGCTGAAATCCACACTTAAAAATAGTTGCTAAAACAGAAAAACCCAAATCCACCCTCTTCAAACAGCACAAGCATTTAATTACAATATTGAACGTATACATATCGGGTCGAAAATGAACACAACCCATCTCATTTCTGTACATAGAAACAGCTTCCGAGTGCTGATTCGTATTAGAGAGTGACATGATCAGATAATTAAATGCCCAAGTAGAGGGATTGGGACGCATTTGGATAACGGGATTCGAAGATTTAGGTTTTTCTGATTGAATTCGAAATTGAGTTTGGATCCAATTCTCAAAACGTCGTGCAGTATCGCAATTAATATCAAAATTAGGATAAGCATATGAACGGATTTGAGTTTTGAATGGCTTAGAGAAAAGAAAAATACCAGCAGAACAAGCTCTGGTGAGAACAATCTTCATCTCTTGATCTGAGCCGCCGCAAAGCGTGGTGCGCGAGATAGCGGCCCGTCGCTAGGGGCTGGTTCGCCTGAGTTATCTTTTCGGGTGGGGTTGATAACTTGCTATGGTGGGATTTAAAAATGACTTTTTTGCAATTTAACCCCCAAACTTATTGCATATTTACTAACACTAACAGTTTGTTCCCTAAATTTGTAATTAGATTTTTAACACAATTACTCCGAACTTATTGTGGTTTAGTTAATTGTCAACTAATCATTTAATTTTAGTAGTCAACTTTTTAAACTTATAAAATTATTACAATGTACTCTATTTTATTAAATTTACTTAAAATTTTTTATTAGATTTAAGGGATTATAAGTTAAGGAATTAAAAAATTTATGCTACATTTAAATTTGGATGTTTTAATTTTTCGTTGAACGTGCTTTTTCGACACTAATTTAATACAATTATAGTCAAAATAGGCATATTACAATAATTTTTTAAGTTGAGTAGGTAACTTATTAAAATTAGAAGTTTGAAAAGTAAATTACTAAAAATATACAAATTGAGGGATAAATGTGTAAAATATCCTTCATAATTTTAGCAATTTATATCTTGTACTTATAAATCTGCATTAACTAATGATACTAATCCCCTATTGATAGCATTGTTAATTATAGAAAAGTGTTACTTTATTAATTTTTTATAGAAAAGGATTATACATCATGACATCAACATAAACAGCAGAACAAGCTTCCAAGGCAAAAGCTTAACAAGAACAGAGCAAACAAAGAAGAGGAAATAGCCGTCAACCGAAAGAGAGAAGAAAAAATAAAAAAAAAATGAAAGGACGATAAGCCAGCGGTATAACTTTGTGGGAGTTAGTAGTTCTTTCTCATCTTAACTTACAATTAAATTTTGCACCAAAAAACAATTTGTGGGAGGACCGAAATAGGAAAGGATATTGTGACCTTATGTGTAATTCTTTCTTAATGATGGGACAATACAGTTGCACGACAGGTGTGAATAAAATAAGAGTCTGTTTAGTTTATTGATTTAAATTTTTAATTTGAGTTAAAATTTAATTTTATATGAGAGTTTTTTATTGTAATAAAAAAATTAAATGTGATTATTTTTAAGAGTTTTTTATTGTAATAAAATTTAAATTTGTGAAATGAACGAGACCTAAATAAAAAAAGATATTGTGAAGTGGTGTAGCGGAGTTCCTCTTGCTCTAAAGACAATAGGAAGACAATTACGATCAACGAAATATTCCTTGAAAGCGGGTGGATGTTGTTTGTGGACAATGAACTTGCAGAAAAAGTTTACTAGCGTAGCTTATTTCTAAAGGGCAAATAGTGTTATGATTTGTCAATGATCCTTGTAACGTCATTTGTAATTCTTTCTTAATGATTGCACAATATACAGTTGTACCAGTGAACAGAATAATTAGGCTTGATTCTTCATTGTAATTCCTAGACTAGTCACAAAAGTGTGAATGAACAATGAAGAGATTCATGAGGGACAAAAAATAGGTGAGAGAAAATAAGTGTGACAAGAAGACAACGCTTCTTCAATGTCTTTTTTCATCAAATCTTCTACTCAATGGAAAATGGATAAAAATAGTTGCAACTCAGAAGGAAAAATATAGGAAAGAAAAGTGTGGAGGTCAATTTCCAACGGTCGAATTTGTGTTAGAGGTTAATGACCAATTGGCGAAGTGGTAAATATTTGATCTATTTGTCTAAGATTGTCTAGCGTATAAACAATAAAATAAAGTGAAAAAAATAAAGAGGAGACATTGAAATTTATAGTGATTCTCCCAATAAATCAGGGTACGTCCATTGTAGTGTTTGTTGTTTGCACTATGTATGCAGAGAATAATACAAAAAGCCTTGATAAAAGCTTGAAAGAGATAGTAATTGAGGAAAGAGAGAGAAAGGGCTGTTCTAGGGCTTGTTGCAGAGGTAGTGCACGAGTTTGTGTGTCTTAGAATTGCCTTCAACGTTGAGGGAAGGCTTCCTTTTATAGCTATAGGCTATACTTATTTGTTTCTCAATTAATGTCAGTTTTCATTTCTTGAATAGAATTGACTTTTCCGATTACATTTTTTATCTTGTTTCCTTATTCCCTTCGTATCTCCTGTGATTTAGGCTAACTTATGTGTGATATGGAGCTTTCCCAAAATCCCAAAATGGAAGATTTTTTGAAAGATTCTCGAAATATTCTTTGGAGTAGTCAACTCCTCTGCTTTACCGAGCAGTCGTAGTCGACTTCGAATGTTACTGTTGATTCAGTCTGATCTTGAAGCTGGGTCATCTTCTAGATGCCTTTAGCTGCTCTATGTGCTTGGATGGTCTTCTTGGTTGTTGAACCTCTAATTTAGTCGACTTGAGTTGACACGTGTAAGGTGGAAATTGAGTGAAAAAATCTGACCCCAACAAAAAGGTAGACTGGAGAAGAGGAATATGACATTGGGATATTTGTTAATGAGTTAAAAAAAAGATATAAATTAATAATAGTTATTTACTTTTCTTGTTGCTGAAAATGAAATCAAACAGCCAGCAGCTGATTCCCCACCATTGTTAGTTTGGGGTATGTGTGTATGTGTGAGGTCTATTACAGGATTAGGATCTGGCTCACTTTGAATCGGTTTTTCGCAGTCAATGTTATAGAGCCACTTTTGGGAGGTGGCCACCCCATTATTAGATTAAGGGTACGTTTCTAATGTCTAGTCTTGTGAGTGTCACCCATTCCTATGGCTTTGATGCAATCTTATATTCTAGACCTTTTGGTGGCCTTAAGAAATTGTCATATTTATCTTTAAAAAAAAGAAAGAATTAACCTTATACTAGACATAGTGTTTTATTTTTTATTTTTTATTTTTTGCTGAAACCATGACTTTGAACTTTATTTGACGACATCGTCTATAAGAAAAAACTAAAGATCACTAATGAGACGTTTAATTCATGGGTTCAGAACCATTGTTTATAATTTTAATTTTTGAAATTCAAATTTTTTTGTGAGAGAAAAATACTGTAGAGAACCAAGAACTATGATTCAAATATTCAATGATGAGCTTTCGCTTAGCAAGTAGGAACTATCTCTCATAAAATAACTGTAAGTTCACATGAATAAATATGCACGAGCAAATTATGCTTAATTATGATGTCTTATCATAGTGCTCGTACCATGGGCCCGAGTGCTCGTACCACTTGCGCGCAATCATCGGGACGTGAGGGTTTGCGAGGTCCCTAACGACACCGTGATTTAACTTACTATACACTTCTTTTTTTTCTATGTCTTTTGTGGAGTCTGAGTTACCTCCCTTTCAGAGGTTGGTACGACACTCAACTAAGTTTATTCTTATAAGTTTTACTTGACTTATTAAGGTGTATGCAATATGACATGACATCGCATAAAGCATAAACATGCATATATAACATATGTAACTTTTTCTTTAAAATCTATTCATATTGTAGGCGAGATTCCTACTTACCTGATTTACAGAGCTGGAATCCACTATTCACCCAACAGTCTATTCTCTTACTTGCTTACTTCTGAAAATGAACACCCATTGAGAGTGTGAGATTAATTGTCGTTTGCTATTCTATTTTAGTACACATATGAAGGAATCTAATCTTTTACTTAATGCGTGTCTTCCTTTCCTTTATTAAAGGATTGTAAAAATTTACAATAATGATCAATTTATTAAATTTTCAAAATCTTATTTTCCTTAATTGCCTTTAACATACATATGTCTAGATTGAAATCAATTATCCAATCTAGTAACTTATTATCCATAATTTACCATATTGGACTTGTTCTATCACTAAGGCCCAATTTGACCTAAAGACATAGTATATGCGTTCTAACTCTAGACCGTCGAAATTTTAGACTTGAGCATGAGTTGTTGAACTAATACGGGCATTGGACTCGCATCTAACTTTGAAATTCTAAAGGCCTAATATATTGGGCTCGTAAGTTCTCATTAGGATGTTTTACTCGAAAACTATTAAGTTTTTTTAAAAGAAACTATTATTCGATTTTCATAAAACCGATTACTCATTTATCGAGTTACAAGTACTAAAATCTCATTATAAATTCTCTTTTGAATACTGACTTTTGAAACTATTGCACAAGTCATTTTACAGTTAGTTCGTAAACCACCGTGAAACTATGTTTTAGAAACTTTTTTTTCGAAATCTTTCTTCATAATTGTTCTTCTTAAAGCGAGGTCTAAAACTGTAGCGACCCTCTTTTGAGGCCGCCACTGTAACTAACTTTTTAACTTGTACTTATTGAAATTTCTTAAAATTTACGGAACATTTTTTTTAAAAGGTCTTATAATAAACATAAAATACGAAATTGCTTTCTTAATTAAAATATTCAAACCTTAACATATTTGTTTCATAATCATAATTAACAAAACTATTTGTAACATAAAGCTGATTGCGGAAATATTTGCGAGTGGTATCCATATCCCGAGCCCCACATCGTTCGTCCACTCGCCAGCAGTCCATCAGGCATTATATATGCCTGTTGCTTACCTACAGTATAAACATTCTATAATGAGCTTTCGCTCAGCAAGTAGAAACTATCTCCCGCAAAATAACTGTAAGTTCACATGAATAAATATGCATGAGCCAATTATGCTTAATTATGATGTCTTATCAGAATCTTATTATCTTATCTTATCTT